GCGCATGCATATAAGCATAACCAATGGACATAAGACACTGGGGAATAGGGGAGGCTAGGGGACTGTCTAGGGCGGGGGAAAAAATGGACACATATGTAATGTCCTTTGTAATACTTTAAGCAATAAAAAAAATAAACTAAATGTTCCTAAGTGGACACCTCATCAAAAAAAAAAAAGAAAAAGAAAAAAAAAGAAAAATAGAAATGCCACATGTAAGAATGGCAATAATTCTTGTTCTAGTCTGATGGCTTAATCTTACTAACTATGAAAATATATGCTATATGCTAGTTGCAGTTGGGAGTATTTAATACAATATTGAAATACATTTCTTGTGCTTTCATTTTAAGAGGATTAATAAAAGTACCTTAATCTGTAATATTTAAGACTTTATTGATTTTAAGTGTGTATGAAACAGCGCAGGGATGATCAATGGACAAATGGAGGTACCTCTGTGAGGTTCTTCATCATTCAACACAGTGCCAGTGTGTGGAGACTGGGGCACAAGGTCCTGGAATGGGAGGTAAAGTTATTTAATAGTAAGATCTTACACTTGTCTGGATGCTTCATGTTTGAATCATCTGTGTGCACATTTTTCATTTGAGCTCCACGAGCCTTTAAGGTGGCAGGACCAACATGTCAGCTGTCTCCATTTGATAGATGAGGATCCTAAAGTTTGTCCTGGCCAAGATCACAAAGGTGGAGACTAGGCTTCACATACACACATACTCAAATGGACAAAGTGTCTCCACAACTGTCCAAAGGCCTCTTTGGCAACTGGAAAGATGTCCTGATCCTATTTTGTTGCAGAGGGAGTGGATGCTTGTGCTAAATCCCTCCTTCTCTCTCCCTTCACAGCTCAGAGACATTTTGGGATCCAGGAACCTCTGGCTCCAGCAAAACTTTACATAGACAAGTTCCCTGCTAACTTTAAGATGACTAGGCCTCACTTCCCACAGTTCTTCTCAGCCAGAGAGGAGGGCCAACCCGGTGCTGGTGGACCCACATGGGTGCCACAGACTGGACGCCACCTCTGTAGGTCGGGAGGGAGCCTGCAGCGACGATCCTTATTGCTCTCTGGATGCGTTTGGAGAACCACACTCCTAGCAAGCAAGGGAAGGCCTTCATGCGGTGGGCAGAGCTGTCCGCACTCAGAAGGAAGATTGTCCTGCGGTTTTTCTTAATTTATTTCACCCAGTTCTCCAGATGTGTCCTCGGTCTTCGGACGAAATTCGCATAGGAGACGCTGAGGACTTCTGCAGCCATGTGCAATTGGGGGTCCAGTGGGCTCTGCCCGTGTCCCCTCAGCCCCTCTCGCCAGCTGTCCCATGTTGTCATCTCTCCCTGCACAGCCAGAGGCACCAGAAGCAACCCTGTTGTGGCATGCTGGCCCGGCCCCCTCTCTCTCCGTGGGGCCAAGTGGCAGTCCCAAGGCGGGCTAGGCTGAGGCTGGCCGAGCAGGAGTAGGCTGAGCCCGTCGCTGTATATGATGCTGTTCATGTGCATTTGGGGCTAATCTTAGAGAAGAACCCCCACTCTCTCCTCCCTCCCCGATGCTTCCCCTGGTAGCGCCTTCTCCTGGAAGCTTCTCTCCTGCTGCCCAGTCTGCGCCCTGGAGGGGCAGTCCTTGTGCCCTCCGCCTCCTGGCCAGGCACTGCGCTGCACCATTGCGTTTTTTTTTACATTCAACTTTAGTATTTTTACTATTATGAGACTTTCCCTCCAAATTCCTCAATAAGAATGACTTTCCAACCAAAATAAATAAATAACAGTAAAAGGGAGATTCCCAAGACAACCATACAGCTCCTATGTCTTCCTCCAGGGCTTCCTAGAGTCGGGCCTGGAGGACAGCCATTGGCCCTGCGCAAGTGCCTGGTTCTCACATAAAGGCTTTAAGGAAAGTCCACCTCCATTCCTTGTCTTGCAACATTCAAAGTTCCGACATAAGTCTTCCCACCTTGCCGTTCCAAAATGGCTTCAGCCAATTCCTAATTGGCTCTATCACGTCAATCTAAAGCTTTTCTTGGCCTCCCAGGGGTAGAAAAGAGAAAGTTGGTGCCTCCAGGTCGGCGGACCCATGAGGCTGGCAAAGAACCCGCGCCAGACTCAGGGAAAGTTGGTTGGCTGCCTTTACCTCCCGGACCAACACCCACTCCTTGGCTTCTTCCTGGAGCGCGAGGAGGTGGGAAAGAGAAGGCAGCGCGCAGAGAACTTAGGTCGCCCAAACATCCTCCGTGGCTCCCAGGCGCAGCGAGGAACAGGTGCCTTTTCTCTGACGTCCGGGAGCGGAGCTTGCTGCCCCTTGCAGGCGGTCGCGTCCCTTCCCCTGGCAACTGCTGGTCTTTGCGCCCTTGTCTCTCCCCTCCGCCCTTTGCCGGGCAGGCGCCGGCTCTCAGGTAATTATTGCCAACCCGGCCCCCCGGGAAGCGGGGGTGGGCGCGCCGGCGCGGGGTGGGCGGCGGGGTGGGGCGCGA